GACTTGAGTTAATTTAAGTTAATTTTTTAAATTCATAATTCATGTCATGAGATTATGATAACCTCAGATAAAGTAAGTTAAACAATTATAAAACTCATTCTCTAATAAATTTATTGTTGAGTTATGAAATTAAAAAAAAATCATTCTAAAAAAAACATAATAAAATAAACAAAGTCAACTAAAACTTGAAATTCAAATCATGAGACTGAAGATCACTAACAAAGTTTAATTCATAATCAACTAAATATTGAAAATGTTAAATAAAAAAAATTAAATTAAAAAATCTTAAATCAATTACCAAACTAGTGATATAGGTTATAAAATGAAAATAATCACATTAAAAATAAATTATAATAAATTATAAAATTTAATATTAAATAAACCAAGCAAATTACATGAATTTTCTTTAAAAAAAAACAAAGAAAAACAACACTATTTGACTAGTTAACGACCAGAACTTTCATACCAAAATCTGAACGGAATTTCTTGAACAAGTTGAGATTCCGAGCAGGATGAAAATTATTCTACCTTGTTCTGTTTTTTTAACTGAAATGAGATATACTGATTATTAGCTTGCGCGTACCACGACTAATCCTCACGGCCCACTGAATATCCTGCAAACCCAGTAGATATGTAAGACATCACAGAGATAATAGGCGTGCACGCCAGGGCTCGAACTCATGTGCAGTGAAAGAAGACAAGCCCCTTCCACTGCTAAGCTAAGCTCATGTCTAAGTGGGATCTTTATTTACCTTTAATATTAGATTACGAACATGGAAAACGACTAATTAAAACGAAGGGCAAAACAAATTCCTTGGACATGTAATATACACACACCAAAAATAAAATAAAAACAATTGACAAGCTCGAATGTTGTTGTTGTGTTGTCATTTTGAGTTAAAACATAATTTTTCCAAGTGTTTAATTTGTAGCAAAATGTCAATCTCCTCCTTGTATTTCATTTAGGTTAATTTCCTCCTTGATTGAAAGGATGCAAGTTCAACCAAGTTTTTGTGCATATATATATATATATATATATATATAGACACGCACACGAGAATAATATACACTGTTTTAGGTGCAAATATATATATACATAGAGACACGAGAATAATATAAATTATCTTTTAAAAATTTATTTGATTGTTTAAGTTTTTTTAATTAAATTAGTTCTTTTAACTCTAATTCAAATCTTAATATTTTTATTTATTTAATAAAAAATAAACTATATTTTTTTGTGAAAATTCACTTTTTATTTTAGTATGTAATAATATAGATATATATAAATTTCAAACTCAAATGATTTTTACTTGAAGAGATATATTAGATAATAATATAAATTATATTTTGAGACCTCATCTAATAGTCTAAGTTTTTATTTTACATTAATTTTTTAATTATATATATATATTAAAAAAAAATTGGTTTTTTTGGGAGTGTGGTTACACTTGTTTTTTATATCTAAATATATCAAAATAATCTTTTTATTTTAAAAATATTATTTTTAAGATTAACATATTAAAATAATCTAAAATATTAAAAATATTAATTTTTAACTAAAAATTAAAATTTTAAATTTTTTAAAAATACAGGCAACTCACATTGCCAAACACCCTCGAAGTCTTGATTCACACATCTAAACTTATTAGTTCAAAATAAATGTTGTATGCAGAAGGAATCATTGGTATGTATCAAAAGAATTAGCCTTGTCAAATGATAGCAATGCACTTTTAGGAAAAAAATAAGAAGCTGGCCAGCAAAGTAGTTACTAATAATTAAATATTGTAAATAATTGAATAATTTCAAATTTCAAATTAAGATATGATTACTTTAGACATCAGCTTGGTGGGACTTCTGTGGTTGAATGATAATTTGTTTAGATAAAGCAAAAGTCCAAAGTAGTGGTAACTGTTAATGACATGTTTTGAATTACCTTAATATTATGTTTTAAAGTGTTTTTTTCTAAATATATTAAATTAATATTTTTTACAATTTATTTTTAATATTAATATATTACAAAAATAAAAAAATAAATTTTACATTTTTTTAGAAATACGGTTTCCTGTTCCCGAGGACAGCATCAAGGAGAAGAGAAGCGCAACATGAGCATAGTGAAGGACGGAAGAAAAGAACACGAAAGAGGACAAAGAGAGTAAGCACCGCGCCACCACCAACAGTACCAGACCCAGCTGTCTGCGAGTAAAGAAAGGGCAGTCTTTGTATTGTTCAAAGACTCTGGTCTACTCTGTATTTGTTTGCTTAAATTAAAATCTGCTTAGACCCAAACATTGTATGCTTGTTCTCCTTTTCCTCTTCCCTATCCCAAAAGTCCAAGCCAGCAGTCTTTGAATTCTGATTCACCATTCCAATCAAACACACATTTCTCCTATTTCGCTTTCTCTTCCTGTAGGGAGTATTTCTTTTATACCCAACTTTCATTCACAGCCCTTGAGGCTAAAAACTGTTCCTTTTTCTTTTTCCTTTTTTCCTTTTCTCCAACTTTGGTTCGTGGGTTTCAAAACAAACCACCAAAAAAGAAACCCCATTTCAAGTTTGATACAATCTTTCACACTTCCTCTTGTAATTCTCATCTGTGTTTTGCTCATCTGCTCATTTTCATTCATACAGTTTGAGTCTTTGGTGTTATACTCTGTGATCAGCAATGGGGCGATTAGATGACTCAGCAACAATGGAAATAACCGGCAAGGTTATGGTTGTTGCAATTGTAATTCTATTCTTGGTGGTGGTTTTTGTTATCTTTCTACATCTTTATGCGAAATGGTTTTGGTGGCGCATTGAAGAACCCACTCACCCTCAACAATCTCGCCGCCGCCAACGCCACCGCTATGTCTTTAACCCTGGTCAAGACCCAGTGAGAAGAGGGCTAGAGCTCTCTATACTGAGATCCCTACCACTAGTGATTTTCCAGCCCAAAGATTTCCCAGGTGGACTGGAATGTGCTGTTTGCTTATCTGATGCTGTAGAAGGAGAAAAGGTCAGGTTGTTGCCTAAATGCAACCATGGGTTCCATCTTGATTGTATTGACATGTGGTTCCAGTCTTATTCTACTTGTCCTCTATGTAGAAGCTCGGTAGCACCACAAGCTCAATGCGCTAGTGGTGCCAATAACAACAATGACCTGGAGGTGAATATTCAGTCTCCAGAGGAAATTTCGATTTCTGGGTATTCAATAGAATCTCCAGATTTTCCAACAAACGTGTTGTTTTGGGGGGATCAGACTCTTGTAAGCACTGGGGGCGGTTCCTTGGAAGAAGGACCTTCTTCTTCAGCTTCTTCCGGGCCGTCATCTTCAGCTGGTGCTAGGCATGATGAGATGCTTGTTATTGATGTTCCGGTGCAAATTACCGATAATCTTGCCGAGGATCAGGAATCAAAGTTGCCAACGCCTACGCGGTTGAGGTCATTGAAAAGACTTTTGAGCAGGGAGAAAAGGTTACCTCCTAATTGTTCTAATGGTTCTGTTGATGTTTAGTCATTGTGAATAATTTAATTCTGGTCCTGAAAGTTTCTGTAGATGCCTGAAGATATTGCATTATCTCGGCATCGTTCGCTTGATAGAAAATTATCAGATTTGGTTCTACCAACTTTGAGAATTGGTGGTAAAGGAAAACTTCTTTGATTGATTAGCTAAGTGTCACATGATTCTTCATATACTGAAATGGCTAAGTGTAATTAGCCTGTTGTACAGGTCCTTTGTGGTAACTCTGGTATTGTAACAGAGTTTCACAACATTTGTTTGGAATGAATGTATTGTATGAGAAGAGCCGTAGACTACAAGGCTTCTCTTTTCAAGTAGATAGACCAATGCATCCTCCTCCTCTATTTTCTACAGAAGATGTATTCTGTGGATTTTCTTTTCAATGTTGATTCATCTGTAGTAGAGCCGTTAACACAATGGTTCCTCTTAAAGCTTTACGATTCACATGGCACGGATTGATTGTGTTTCAGAATCTGTATGAAATTCTTAATATATATTGACACAAAATTGGTTGCATCGAGTGTGGCTGAGACAAGGTTCATTTTATCCAGAGATGTTGAAACTCCCTTTCAAAACTCATCTTATAGTGGAACTCATGCATTAATATGTTCCGTAATTTGGCCAAATTTTGTGTTGGTGAAGGGGAAATTTCATAGAGATGCTGAATCCATCAGCAGCTTATCCTTTGGCGACCTTTTTGGAGAACCAGTTGCAAGATACTACCAATCTCCTTTAACCAAAGCAGTGTCATTCTTGAGGCATCAAGTTTTTGGGTATGAGCCGATCGATAGTTGACGGCTCATACCCAAAACCCAGTTTCTGAACATGATAGCAAGGCATGAGCCATTAAAAAGCGTAGTAAGATTTTCAACAAAATGCTGCAGCTGAAGGTAACAGGACATATATCAATCACAAGTTTGAGATTCCTAAAACTTCTCTTTGTCAGATGATCTTGTTTTTTCTGTTAACAACTAAGAATAGTTGAATTGATCTAAACCTTAGTACCAACGGCAGATAGCTGGGGTCCATCTTCATTGTGGATTGTGAAAGCTTCCTTTACCCTAGTTGATTGCTCTTCAATAGTCCAAAACCAAAGCTTTTGGCCATGTGGGCAGCACCATCACTCTTGACCACATAAATCGGTCCTTAATCTCCTCGTGAACCTGCAGCAGCAGACGTTTTGTCCATTTTCAATGCCATCTTTTGCTTTATTTTTGCAGTTTTTTCCTTTTGGTCAGTCTCGTCTCTCTCTGTATCTCAAGTAGTGGATATTCCTTCATGTTTACACTTCCGAGCTGGGAGAAAGTTCGAAGGGTGAAGTGGGAGTTGTCTGGGTCCTTTAAAAATCAATACCCTTCTACTTCCACATGCAATCCAGGACAAAATATGGATAGAAATTCCTGAAGCATGGAGATCAAGTGCCCCCAAATCCTTCATCTTTTTAATTTTCCCATACGCATCAAATGTATTGCAATTTGGATAACATGTGCTAATATATGAATTTGGCTACTTGGAATAGTTTTTTACTTCAAAACTTAATCTTTTATCTGAGTCGCGCGTTCTGACTCAAAAAACAAACAAACAAAAGGAAAGAGAGAGACAGAAAATAGAATAAAACTGACATGTTGTCCTGCTTGCGGGCTCTTTCTACTATAGATAATCTACTCTGCACATTAAAGTTGATATTTGGATTCCAGATATTAGTTGGTTCTGCTTGTTTGAATGATCTGGTACATTTTGTTGCCACAATCCTTCAACCGAGAGATGCTTTACTACATAAAATGAAGAAGTTCCGACGCAAAGCTTTTGTCGCTGAAACACTATGTTACCAAGTAAACAGGTCCATATGCCTTGACACCATGAGGATTATTAAGCTGGTCGAGACACATATAAGGTGTCTCATTCTCCACCCTCTTTGAATGGTTGAAAAGATTAGCCAGTGGCCCAGATGTTTGTCGCCGATGCCTTGCATCGACTCCTCTGCCACTCCCATATATAGGACCAGAAACATGACCCTTTCTTGGATTTGAAATGTGAGAGCTATTTGTCGGTTCCCCGGCAGGCTTGGTCTTTTTCTCAGCTTTCCACCATTTGAGGAGAGTGCGTTTCCAGGACCTCCTGCTCTTTTTCTCTTCTTGCACTCTTCCTTTTCCAGATTCTGGATGCTGTAACGGGGACTGTAGATTCATTTCTCTTGCATGTTGTCTAGCTTCTTCCAAGAACTGATCGTGGTTGTAAACTTGTAACGTTATAGTAAAAACTAAAAGACACTCTTAAGAAAGTTTCTCCTGTCTCCTCAATGCTAAACAGCCACATAGAGATGCTTAAAAGAGTTGTTCAGCTAATGAGAAGTTCAGTTTTGTGGATCAATCAAGGGCTATAGCCCGGAGACCCTTTGCCTTTATCCAATATCACATCACAAAACATGGTGTACAGAAAACTAGAGATTAGGAGACAAACACGGGTATTGTCTCTCTTGCTAAATCTGAAATATCTTTTCTGATTGATATCAAGTTTCTATTTTAAGTTAAGAAACTAAGGTGATAGATTTAAAATAAACAAATAAAACATGGAGCACATAAAAAGGAGAAGTGGCTAAAAGCTCAGACAGGCTTGCTTACCTGTGTAAAATCAACTTCAGGATCAAATTCGTAGGCACCATAATCGCTTGCCTCGTAATGTTGGTACGTTGGAGCTTTATTCATGGTTGCCTGGAAATCTTTCGAGTCAATACCATAAACGAAAGCTTTCAAGATCAAATAAAACGAATACAATCAAAAGGAATCACAAAAAGGAACGTCCGGCAAAAGAGGCGAGCCATTACTTGTATTTTGTAAAGGAGGGTAGTGGAATAAATATATATATTGAAGCATAAGCAGTTAGTGATATTACAAAGAGACAGAGAAAAAGTGAAGTTCACAGTTGCCTGTCTACCTTGAATTAATTTCTTTAGTAAAGAGAAGAAGAAGCACAGAGAAATAGATGCGATATAAAGAAGATGCCATGTCAAAAAATTGAGATGTGCCCTCTCCTTGAGGAAAACAAACTGCCAATTTTTTTTTAATTTTTTAATTTTTTTTACTTTAAATTAATTTTTTAATATTTTCATATCATTTCAATGTCAATATTAAAAATAATTTTTAAAAATAAAAAATATTATTTTACTATATTTTTAAATAAAAAATACATTAAAAAACAACTATTATCATATTTCCAAACACATTAAAACAAAAAAACTAAAAATATAGTACTTCATATTAAATAGTTGTGGTTAGGGCTGAGGAAACAAGAGCTTTTTGGTAGTTGAAAACTGACATGGCAATCCATCCTCTTGCTTGTAGAATTCGGTCAGGAAAGGACAGGTGGGTAAAATGGTTGGAGCATTCACCATGGACAAAATACATAACCAAAAGTAGCACTCTGAAATCAGCAGAAAATCTGGCCCGCTAACAAATCTTTTAAGAAAAAGAAGGTAAATAAGATGGAATCATTCCGATTATTACTTTCCTTTCGAGTTAAACGTACTCGTTAAGAAAGGGTGGAACCTAATGCCTGTTTGCTTGCAACAGCTATTACACTTTTGCGTACCAAACACCCCCTTATAGTCTTGAATATGGACTTGGAGGAGCTGGCAATGATGGCAAGGACGAGCGTGGAAACAGCAGAGAAGCCAGCCAACCTAGGCATTAAGCACTAGTGCAAATTAATTAGGCAAATTGATTTGAGATGCAGGCTCACTACACGTTAAATAATGGTGATGGCGATGATAACAAGCAATTATTATGCCTGGAAAAGATGGAGAAAAGGGCCCTTTTTATCTAGTTGAGGGGATGCACAAGGTTACCCGCTTCATGTCTGCCGCATGTCACGGAGTTATTTGGGCTATCATAATTTGGGGTTCTGGAGGTCAACGACAAACAGCCAAAAACTGAGGTGTGGCTGGGGACTGTAAATAGTCTACAGCACAAACTCGTGCTTGCTGACCTTTCTTCTCCTTCTCTACATAGCAGAAATGGAACGCATGCCATTTGAAGAGGGAGGTTTCTTTGAGCCAAGTAAATCTAGCCTCCAAAAATGAGGTCCCCGTGATGGAAAACAAACCATTCTTGTTTCAGGATGGTTGCATCATCCAGGGCAGTTATCTCAGAAGCCCAGTCCTGAAAAGACATGGCCACTAACGACTGATCTTGTAATGGAAGACCCATATCATCAGCTCAGATTATTTACAGCATTTTGTGTCTGGGTGTGCGCTTTCTTCCCGTATAGACCGCAAGAATCAGGGGGCTACGAGTATCAGAGCATCACATGGTACGAAAAAAATGAACCATATGGTAAGGTAACAGTGCTGGCCAAATCAATATCATTAAGCAAACTATAAATAATCAAGTACACAGACAAGGGGTCGTTTTTCTTTTGACCAGGCAACAGGACGTGGTATGGCAATGATAATGTTTTAGCAGTGACCTTGAACAGAACTTCGAAACAAGAAGAAAACAAAGAACACCAAGCTGAAGTACCAAACACAACCCCCCAACAAAATTGGCATTACGATAGCATCAGAAGTATGCAAACTTCAAGCATTAGAACAACCTGCCGACAGTAATATTAGCAACAGTCAAGAGACCCAAGGGGGCCTCATCGGCATCGACCCCTGTACAATTTTCTGGTAGATACACGACATCAAACCTAAAGGAGGAGCATTTGAAGAGTAGTCTAGAAAATGCCTGTATTTCCACTGACCCTTCTAACATTTCTGTTGTCCAGACTAGATTTCAAAGTTGAAGCAGAGGCAGTGCCATCACAACACCAAAGATCGAAACCAGCAACAACATCATCCAGGTTGGAAATGGCTGCTTCCTGTTTCTTCTCTCATCCTTCGGGGGATCTACTCTTTTTGCATCTTCCACAGAAGAATCACCTTGCTTTTCCAATTTGGCTCTGGATCTATCTTCTTGTGGTGCCTGTGATGAAACATGCTGCTCAGAGTGAAGCTCCTGGTCATGCTTCTCTACATACTCGGGAAACAATTTCCTGAACGCAGCACTGTCAAGAAGGAGCACATCAGCTCCGATTAGAATTTAAACTAATTGATAACACAAACATTAGTAAATTTTAGCTTTGAGCAAGCTAAAGAACACATAAGAAAAGTAACATAATCATAACTACATAAACATTGAATCCAATGCCTTTATGGGAACAGGTAAGGATAATAGTGATTAAACAAGGAGCACATTTTGACAATCACTTAAACTAGATCATTGGCCTACGCTACATTGTGAGTCAGATCATTTTTTTTTTTAACATAAAAATTATTGAGGCTTTGCTAACTTTTTTTTCCAGCAAAAATTTTTTTTTAATTATTTAGGGATTGACCTGATATGACCCAATCAATTTGACAGGTTCGAAGACAACTTGATTGACCAATAAAAACTTAGTCTGACTCCAGAAACTTCAAAACATCTTTTTCAAAAAAAAAAAAAATTGAGACAACATATTGTATCAATCTGAATCATCATGGTTAACTTGCCAAATCCAAACTCTTGATCATGATAACTCCAACAAAAAGTAAATCAAAACAAATTATAAAGTTTAATTCACAATTAATCCAATGTTGAATGATAAAATTAAAAAAAAAAAACTTAGAAAAACAACTCAAATCAAACTAGATTAATTTATTAAATAAGGATTGGGAAACCCTATAGAACAAATTATATAGCACAATTCTCAATCAATTCAACTTTGAATGATAAAATTTTAAAAAAATCAATTTTAAAAAGGACTAAAAAAATTACTTGAGTAAACTCGGGTTAACCCACTAATCTCATGACTCAAGTCATGAGACTGGGATAACCTCACAGAAAAAAACTAAAATAAATCACGAAACATAGTTCTCAATCAATAAAATGTTGAAAGATAATATTGAAAAAAAATCATTTAAAAAAAAAAACTCAAGTCAATCAGGTTAACTTGTCAAACCTTTGACTTGAGTCATAAAACTGGGATAAACCTATAAAAAGAAAATTGAAACAAATCATGAAACTCAAATCTCTAGCTAACCAAATATTAAAGGATAAAATTGAATAAAAAACATAGATTAAAAAAAAAACTGCTGCAATAAGTAGTGATTTGTGAGGTGGTGCCTGGGATAAAAACTCATCTCTTTTAGTGTTATGTTAATAATGCAAACCCAAAGATAGGCATGCATGAAAGGCAACAACAAGAACAAAGCCTAAATCCTCTTGCATCATTCCATGAAATCATAAATCTAATCCACCTCAATATATAACCCAAGTGTGAATAAAGGGAAAAAAGAAATGCATGGTGAGTGGGGAAATGGTCCAAATGGATCCTCAGATAGACAAGAAAAGCGGAGCACTGTACTTACTTCTTACAATTGAAAGCAAGAGAATCCTTTGCTAGGCGTCGCTTATCAGCAGCAGTAGTGTTCACACTTCCTGTGGTAGGACTGTTGTCCGTCTACATAGCAAAGATGCATCCTTGTTTGAGAAAATAGTCTAGGGAAAGTAAAATAAACTTAAAAATGCCTCCAAATATGGGTTCCCAAGGAATTAATACATAGTTTAACCACCTTTTGTCATGAACCAGACCAAAATTACAGTAACAACAAGATAATGCCAGCTAGACACCCAAAACCCATCCCACACAAGTTCAAGGGAATAGGCCAGAGAATAAAAATGGAAACTTTTAGCTACAAATAAATTATGCAAGTATGATAATCAATAACAACAAAACAGATTCTGAAGCAAGAACCAGCCTTAACAAATTACTACATTGAGAAAATTGAGAGCCACAATTAACTCACCATGAAAGAAAGAAGCCCTGTAAGTATACTGCAGCAATGAAATTGGAAGAATGTTAGACCAAGGATCTATAATAACTAGCTCTTTATTATTTAGAACTGATAATCCAGAGAGTTAGAAAATTAATTGAAAAATTACACTTTAAGCCTTAATCTGTTTTACCTTGATACAGACCACATGGGGTTCCAGCTCTCCGGATGAACTGGAAAGCAATAAGATCATGGTAAACAAAACCAAATATAAAAGATGGCCAAAAGTAAAATGCTGTAAGCATAGCAGGGTAAAGAACTTACAATCACTCATGGATAAGCATATTTTCTTTTGAGTCATGAATCGCCCATTGGGAGTGATCATGCTACAGAGATAAAAGCCACAAAAGTTAGAAGCATGCCTGAACTAAAATATTGAAAGAGAAAGGCACGGGGAAAATGATATTCAGGAAAAACTTTAGCAGCAATAAAGAAGTTTACATGATTCCAGGAGGTTTATAGGGATACTCTGGAGGAAACTTGATTTTTCCATAATAATATCCACCTTATCACAAGGAAGTCAGAATTTCCAATTAGAATAACAAAGCACTGAGCAAGATAACCACACTATTTTCTGTATCATGTATTGAATCAACAACATGGCTATCAAACCTGCAAAAGGTGTTCCTTCACTTCCCTCCAACACATAATCTGAAACATCAAAGTTACATAACATCAATATCAAAAAATACCTCAGTGAATTAAGACCACAAACAGCAACAGAGAACAAAAAAAGAATAAGAAGAAGAAGAAACAAAACACAAAAAGCAACAGAGCAAAATAAAAACAAAAATAAGAAGCAAAAAGCAAAACAACACAGAATAGGTTGAAAATGGAATCACTATGTGCTATGGATGAAAGAACCATACCTCACAATCAAATGTTAAGAAGGCTAAAATTTTCCCAAGTAATCTCTTCACTTTCCTAAGCTCTGTCTTCAACTCATCCCCATTCCAAATAACAATTGTGCTACTTCATTGTGGCATTCTTCCTAATACCAAACTATACTTAACACTAGGAGAAATGACTGCTCGAGATAATATCAGATGCCTTCCATTATATATTTGGTTGTATCAGATACAGTTGTAGATCTGAGATAAGTACTCTTGGTTGTAAGAAGTACTTAGCCTAGCTTAGATAGCTATCCTATTGTTTTGTAACCTGTATCCTATTGCATGTGTATATTATACACAAATTATTCACTGCCAAACCTCTTGTTTCCATTATATTTCTATTTCTTCCAATGACATCTCACGGCATCATCAGCCAAGGCTGTAAAATCTGCATGTATTCATTCTTAAGGATGAAAAGTAACGTTTCTGGAACCTTTAGCATCTCCTTCACGTATTTAATGGAGGAGCAACAACTCCATAATTATGAACGAATCAAGCAAACCAGTAACAAACCGGGAAGCAGTCACAGGTGTTTTGCATCAACTTTTCCACACAAGGTTTGGAGTTTGAATGAGTCCAAAGACACAGAATTCAGTGTTTCAGCGGTTGCCTGCAATATCTTGTATGTCATGATTCTTCTGCCAAATCTCCAGTGACATTTGAAGCAAGTCTAGACAGATGATTAGATATTGTAATTCTTTTACCCTAAATTATTTAGATTGCAATAACTCTAGGTCACCACTAATGTCCACAAGTAGATGATGTAAAAAGCTCAGATATATATATATATATATATATATATGAAAATTTCAGAGAAGGAAACAAAAATAAACAAGAACTTACGCCATTCAAGAATGTCACTTGGAGAAGGACGGGCAACAACATGAGAGACTGGTTCCTGAAAATTCATTATTATAAAACAACAGCAAAAAATCGGTGTCTAATGATGAGAAGAAAAATG